ATACGAGTAAACGTACATTAATTAGCCTTTTCAGGACTATTATCTCTACTCGAACCAGCACTTGTATTACCAAAAAATCTAGGCGGACTAGCACGTCTACGGGTGGGTGTAGTCATGTTGGCTGTATAAGGAGCATTTGGGGAGGATGGATGCTGCATAGGCGGAGACGTGAATGTGGAGGAAGGAGAACGGTTGCTCATCGCGACCATGGGACTCTGCTGCTGCTGCTGAGGCGCATAGGCATTCGGGTATGCTTGACCAGGATTGCTGTTCCTAACAGCGCTTGGACTAATTGCACCGCTTGCCATTCTTTCCTGATTAAACCTGGAGAATGCAGAAAGATCCATGGTCTGAGGTCGATTTGGCGGCAACGGGACAAAACCAGAACTCTGGGTTACCGTCAGCGGCCTAGCTCCTGGATTTGCTGGAGCAGGCAGGGGCTTCCGAGTCGGACTAGCACTTGAACTTCTTGCCAGCTGAGGTGGTAATGCAGGTCCTCTCATTGGTGGCGCAAAGCCAGGATTTGGCTGAGGATAGCCCACACTCTGCGGTCTGGGTCTTCTTTGCATCTGAGAAGGCACAGGCGGAGGACCCATAGACATCGGTCTTTGTTGTTGCTGTACTGGAACTGCTACTGAAGGCCTCACGGGTGGTAGCTCAAAACCCAATTCGGCCTGCGATCTGAATACTGGCGGAGGTTTCTGAGCATTTTGGACCGGATAGTGATTGGTATATTGATTGGGTGGATATCGAGCGTTCGGATGAGCCTGATTCTGCCAGTATTGCTGTTGTTGTTGTTGGTGGTGCATTTAACTTTGAAGAGTTGAACCAACATGATATCATCACACTCGCGTCTTGATCATATGCCTGCCGAACAGCCGGTTGCTCATTTGACCTCAATAACTAGCTTTGACCTCAATCAGTAAAGGTCTCGCGATCAAGCAATGAATTTCTCTGGGGCTGGCATATATGTATCTGCTAGTTAATCACAGCAGTATCTCTATGCTGCTGTAGAAATAAATTATTTAGATAATGCGAGACGGGCCCGATATTCATTCTTCCGCTAGTGCCAACGCTTGTTCCAAGTCCTCCTCCTCAGTAAGGACCGGAGGTGGTGGAGGATTACCATAGATGATCCTTTGCCCTAATATCGCTGCAAAATTCCACATTGAGAACCAGTCTATCATCCCAGAAAAGACATACCAAAGTCAATCGAAAGCTGGAAAATTGCGCACACTTTGAACTGCAAAGGTGATCCTTGCAGGAAAAAGTATACAGTCCTACGTATCTCAATGAGCAGGATGGTATCGATGTGATTTGAAGGAAGTATTGCTTACTTGAAGGAATCTCCTCCTACCCAGCCGAGCAGAGTAGACATACGGAAGCCATATAAAGACCTCTGCTTGTAATTGCTATCCGAAGTTTTAGAAACTAGACCACTCCCGATGACTTTTCATCCTTTACCTGATAAGCTGCGGTATAGGCAAGGTGCTTTCTAAACCAAGCGCGCAGAATCCCAGTATTGTGACGAATATTTCGGACCTTCCAAAGATAAGAAACAGTATAGCTTGGAAAAGACTAATTGAACACCCATCAGCAAGACGCTACGCAAATAACTAGACATGTACTCACATCAACCCAGCCAAAAACTCCATATACTGAGTGTACCCCGACCACTGCCAAAACGAATAGATTCTGTTCGAAGTTCCAAGGCTTTCTGGACTAAGTCGGGGGCGGTATATTGATGCAAATGTATAATAATGCAAGCTATTCAAACTGCATCGGTTAGCAAACACAGGTTCAAGCGGAATAGTATCAACACGCACCTGAGCAAGAATCATGAAAACTGATTGTAAGAGCAGTGCGAGCTCGAATTGATTGCTACGTGAAGCGAGGTCGGTAACCTCATCCCAGAATGCAATATGAAATTCTTACCCAAGCCAAAAGAAGCATCTGGTTATGTTTGCTATCAGTCTGGTGAAATAATGCATCAGCTACTAAGGAGGAGGAGGAGGAACGTAATGGCATACAGAATCGCGCAGACGTCTCTCGAAAATCCCGTAGAATCCCTGCGCAAAATAGCTCAGTGACAAGAAGGAGGTGGCAGAGAAACGTAAGGAGCACTTCTTCTTTACGATGGAATAGGCTTGGTCGGCATAAACCTGATTACTTCGTGTCAAATATCATCGAGCGTATGAGGGCCTAAGAAACATACCAATGGAGGCCCCACAGCCATCCCTATAGAAGCCGCCGTAGACAACCAACCCGCAGGCTCAATCATTTTGAGGAAAGTGTAAGAAGAAAAGGGGTCGACGTCGGTGGTAGTAACTAGTAACAGTGAATGCACTAAGCCTCGTAAGCGCTCATCAATTGGAGAATCAGATCTCAGAGTCAGGAGCGCTCAAGCTTTATCTTCCGCTTTCACCACGGCGCCCCTAAGCCAGCCGCGTAATTACCAGTTCAGAGCCTAGGATCGCATGAGCTGCACGAGATATTCTGAATAGGACCTGTAAATAGTAAAGGGTCTGCCTTTATGTGAGATTGTAAGTAATACTGCTGCTCCCCAGTGATCTCAGATCTTCTCCTTTCCAGAGTCCAACTTTAGAAACCGATGGTGACTACGCACACCCTCCTTAACGTTACAGCTAAGTATGCGCCGTTCAAACAGCATTACTTACTAGCACAGCTTGAATATCGACATCGAGAATCGGAACTTGAAGCTTGAAGGCTGGAGTATACCGTACTATTCTTCTGACGGGTTTTACATCGCAGCCATTGCGATGTAAAGAAAGTGGGGTGGTGCTGTAGTATGTAACCTTCCTGGACGTCTAATCCAACTTGCAGTTCATGTACCATTCACTCGTTGCAATGTACGCGTCAGCTTCACGTACTGCGTTCAGTCTCAAATTGTTGTATTCTTGACGTTCAACCCCAATTCAATCCTATTCGGTTCATTGCATACTAATCGCGCCAAGCAGGTGACGCTGTGTTACAGAGGTGACAGCATGCAGTGATGTTGTCCACCCAGTTCGCTACTATAAAGTCCTGAACTTCGTAAAGATATAATAGTAAGACTTGTCTCTTACACAATGCGAAAACCCCTCTTATCCGCCCATTGCCATGTATTCTATATCCTAGTTCTTATAAACACCATTCACGGTCTTTTGCTTCCAATTAACCAGGAGGCTCGTCAACTACCAACACATCGATCGAGACGGGAAAGCAACGAATTCATAGCACAATCTGGAAATGGCAGTATTGCGGTAGCAAACGTGGATGACCGCTTTTATAATGTGAACGTTGTTCTGGGTGGCGCGGTCTTCACTGTTGGTCTGGACACTGGCAGGTATGTCTATCGCTCTTCCGTAACCTATCGGGTCTAATGGACGTCGAAGCTCAGATCTGTGGGTGTCTGGGGATGTTCCATCCACGAAAAATGTTTCTGCGCAAAAGGTTCATTTAGACTACGCAGGGGGCACAGTTTCAGGTGAGCATTTTATTTCTCACATATACTTACTTGCCTCACCTTTCGCTGCAGGATCAATCAATACAGCGGAATTGACTCTGGGTAGCTTCACGGTATCAGATCAAGCCTACTGTACGCCATGTTCATTCGTACAAATATATTATCCTAACTTGTTGTTCCAGTGAAAGCCGATACAGCACAATTAGGGAGGGGCGGGGCAAACGGAATTCTCGGTATTGGGCCCAGCTCTATCTCCGCAATAAACAAGAAATACTCTTCATCCAAGGGAGAACCATTCCTAAGTCGAATTTTCAAGCAAAACGCAACCCTCGAAAACTACTTTACCATCTTTCTCTCCCGCTCTCCTGATGTCGAACCGCCTATGGCTGAGGCAGAAGTGGGACAATTCACCTTGGGCGAAGTCATTCCTCTGTTCGAGGACATTGTAAATACCTCAAAGTTGCCTGTAATAAATGACCAGTATCACAGCCAGCGGTGGGAGATACTGTTAGACGCGAACGGTGTTATTGGTCCAGATGGAGAAAAAATTAATACTACTACGAGGATTAAGAATCCACAATCGGGAGCTCAAACCCAGCTGCGTGTTGCATTTGATTCAGGCTTCACTATGCCTCAAGTATGTGAGCGTCTCAGCTTCTATAACTTTTGAATTTACATCCAGTTTATGCACAGCTACCCAGAAATGTTGTGGATGCCATATATGGTCGAGTACCCGGCGCCCTATTTTATCAAAATGGTTCTGGCATCGGATTAGCTCAGTGGACTAACTTCTGGACTATCCCATGTGACTGTAACGACCTATTCCTCTCACTTTGGGATCATTCTGAAACTATTCGTGTGTAGATGAGTTGAATATCTCATTCATATTCGCCAACCAAGCATTTCCAATTGCGCCTTTGGACCTTACGCTCCAAGGACATGACCCAAGTGGAAATGACATATGTGCCGCTAGGGTATGTTGCTCTCCCGTATCTCGTCTTACTGGTCTGAAAAAAGTGCATATAATCAGTTTCAGGAAATGGATGAAGCTATCATCCAGGACGCGGGTTTTGGCGCACTCGACATGATTTTGGGAGAGGCATTTTTGCGAAATACATACATGCTAGTCCATGTTGGTGATCTTATGGATGAATCATCTGGTGGCAACCCCTACATACAACTTCTGTCAACAGCCGACAAAAGAGTAATTCATGAAGAGTTTGTCGCTGCTCGACTAAACGGTATCGATACTACAGGATCACAGCCCGCTCTCCTAGGACAGAGCCAAGCTCAGCAATCGCCTCCACCTTTGAATTCAACAGGGTTAACCCCAATTCCTGCTGGATCTAGTAGTCCTTCCAACGGCGGGAGCTCGGACTACCAACAGGCGTGGTTTATCTTTCCGGTGACTTTCATTTGGCTGGCTTCTATGTGGTAAAAAAAAATTGAACACTGGACATTTAATATAATATTGTGCATTAACATCGTTAATGAAAAAAAAAGAACTGATTTTTTTAGGATGACTCTAAAAAATCGCTGGAAGCAGGATTTGAACCTACGCACTCAGAGAGTAATAGATATTTAGCTCGGAAGCATTCAAATCTATCGCCTTAACGACTCGGCCATTCCAGCTCGCTAGCAGAGTTACAGTAATTAATAATCAATAATCAAGGTGTGGTCAATGATTAATGATTAATGACGCTCGTGCTAAGTGGCTTATCTGAAACCACCATCTCCAAATAAGATGTCTATCGAGAAACGTATCATCCTCGTTACTGGATCCAACAGCGGGATGGGGCTTGACTTGGTTAAACTCCTCGCAACGAAAGGTAATTTATATGCGTACAAATGGGGCCCGTTGGTCGACGAACACTCTCGCAGGACACACAGTTTATCTTGCTTCTAGGAATGAAATGTCTGGGAAGGAAGCTCAGTTCGTGCAATGTTTTGATATTTTCTAACAGTTTTTTTGATCTTGATATTATAGGCAAAAATTGAAGAAAGATCACGGTCTGGACGTCAAGTTCGTTCAGCTTGACATCACGGACATCGCTTCTGTTCAAGCGGCGAAGGATGTTATCGAGAAGGCGGAAGGCAAGATCGACGTCCTGGTGAGCAATTAGTTCCCTGTAGACTGAAATATGCATTATTCACGACACGACGAGTGTCTAGGTGAACAACGCTGGTGTGTGTTATTTGCTCCCTTTTACGAAGCTATATTCGATGTATCTATAGGAGTGAGCTATATGAATAAGCCTCAGAATGCATCCACCATCGATATTTCTATCATTCGCGACGCTTTCGAGCCCAACTTTTACGGGATGATTCAAACCACACAAACCTTCCTCCCACTTCTTCGCAAAGGCTCCCATCCTGTAATCCTACTAAATACTACAGATATGGCCTCCAACACATTCCAGGCTCGTCCCGACTCTTTCTTGCACGTCGTTGCCTACAATACCTCGAAGGCTGCAGCCAACTCCTATATCATCGCGCTAGCGAACGAGCTCAAGCCTGAGGGATTCAAAGTGAATGCAGTTACTCCTGGTTTTACGACCACTAAGCTGAATGGATTCGCTCCCGGAGGAAAGACGCCTGAACAGGCTGCCGAATTGTTGGCGGAATGGACGCTCTTGGGACCTGAGGACAAGGACAAGACAGGTATGTCGTAGGTGCATGTGCATTACACGTACTCACTTTGAGCAGGAATGTTCTGGTCTGATAAAGGTGCATTCCCTTGGTGATCCCAGGTAAAATGAATAGGAAAAAGAAGAATCATATACATATGTATAACAGGCTACTTTCAAAAAGAATGCATTATTATAAACGATGCCTTTCCGCTCTCTACTTATGACTGTACTTACTGATGACTCGCACAAACCCTACGTGCATTTAACTTGCGACACACTGGGAGCGAGATAAATCTGAACAAACGCCTGTCCTGACACCTGGCCCACGAGTTCCTCGTACTAGTAGGATAATGAGATAAGTAAATGCTAGCGTAACCTAGACTCGAACCAGCCGGCTGTATCGGCCCGGTGACGTTCGATGAAAGACGATCGAAGTTCGGGCTGGAACAGCCGACTGGAATTTAATCTGGCACTTTTGGCATGGTCGGCTTTTTTCACACGCCGACTTCTTGACTTTGACAAAATTCTAAGCATTGATTTTTCAAACTCTCCATCTCGAAAATCTGAAAAGACAAGTTTGTGCAGAATTACACGACAATTCAAACGTATACCTTTATGAACTCTAATTCTTTGATCCCATCGCTCAAAATTGAATTTAGTATTATCAGCGCGGACTTTACCTATTGAATGGTTTATCATCCGGTGACCACGCTGGATGCTGTCAAGACTGCCAAAGCGAGGGAAACGATCGTTGAACTCTTCCATATCCCTTCCCTCCGCGAATACCAAGAAAAAGCAGGCCAAAATGTCCTGCTCGGCAAGAATACCTTCCTTGATATCCCTACTGGAGGTGGAAAGACCCTTTCGTTCTACTATCCCCTCTTTTATCACTGGCAACCTGGAGTAAAGGCCAGGAAATCACAGAAGATCATCCTCGTTATTGGACCATTCAAGTGGGCTCATGAAATCGCAGGCTCGGGACTTGGTAAGGATAGGGGTACCTGCAGTAGCTTTGACTCGAGAGACGGAGGACTTAGAGAAGGAACTGAAGGTAAATGTTCAATCATATCATTCAAGTTGTTCTGACATCTGCCCTGGTTCCAGGCTTTTGGAAACGGAGACTATCGCGTTGGATTTGTAGGCCCAGAAATGGCACTCAACAACCGGTTCCACGAATTGGTCCTTGAGAACCGGAAATTCCAAGCAAGTATCATATCCGCTGTCATAGATGAATCCCATAATATATCCGAGTGGGGTACCGACGACTTCCGCCCCGATTTTGGACGTATCTCTGCACTTCTAGGACGCTTACCTCTCGGTTTACCAATCCTTGCTGCATCTGCAACGGTAGCACCTGAGGTTATTACCCACATTCAAGACAAGCTTGGAATTGGTGGGCGTTGCGAGCATATTGCGGTTTCGAATGAGAAACCAAATGTCTCTCTTGCTGTTCGAATCATGCAGCACCCTCCAGACAGCTATGCGGATCTTCTCACCCTCTTTCCCAAAAACCCAACCAGCGCGGACGATTTCGCACAGACCCTCATCTACGTCAACAGCCGCCAAGAAGCTGAACACATTCAGGATTTTTTGCGTGAACATGCACCTGAGCATATCAATGGCGCACGATTCGAGTTTTACCATCGCTACATAGCTGATGACCGTAAGACGTACGTTGAGGATGCAATTGCCAGTGGGTTTTTACGCGCGGTATCAGCTACTGATGCTCTAGGCATGGTAAGACTAACCTTTTCTTTTGTGTGCAGACTAACTAGTGTATTATTAGGGTATGGACTTTCGTCGTATCAAGCGAGTCTACTTTTGGATGCCCCCTCGGACATTTAATTCACTTATCCAAAAGCTCGGGCGTTGTGTTCGGGTCTTCACAGAGCTCGGTGAGGCTGTTCTGCTCATTACGCGGACTGCATTTAGCAGATTTGCTGTCGAGTTTGATGTTGATAGTCGTGAGATGGATGAGGGTGATCCAAACTTGGATTTCGATGAGGAACCAGAATGGGAAGAACGTACGTATGAGATACCAGAGGAAGATAGTGACGTGGAAGGCGAGAATAATGCTGAGGGTGCCACTCTGGAATCAGTCGAGCTTCAAGATGGCGATGTTGATATGAGTGATGGGTCAGACAGTGAGCCTGCGACCCCTGAACCAGAGGCTCTACCGTCAACGGAGGGGCCACCTTCCAAGCGCCGGAGGGTCAAGCGGAAGAAGGTGCTCACTCGAATTGAAGCTCGTGACCGCTGGTACCTGCTTTGGTTTATTCTGACCACAAAATGTCGTCGCATTCCCTGGAACAGGTTTTACAATAATGCAAGCAAACGTAAGGCTAATTACTCTACTCAAGCCAATATTGACCTTGTTTGTAGAACCTTCACCTTTCCCAAAACCCGACGGCGCTATCTGTTGTGATAACTGTGACCCCTCAAAGTTTCATCCCGACACCATCAAGCTCACCGATCCAGACCAATTGCGACTACCTGGACGCCAACGCAAGAGTCCTCCTGATCTTTTTGATGCTGTCAAACAACGTCTTGAAGAGCTGCGAGATGAAATTGTCTTGACCCTCTATGGAACTCGGCAAGGCCTCATCACTGGGTGCTATATCATGCAAGATGATGTGGTGCAAACCCTTGCTGAGCGTGCTCGTGCAATTGACTCTACCCATGCAATCAAGCAGCGTGTTTGGTGGCATTGGGTTGACCGGTATGGCCAAAATGTTGTAGAAGCCATACAGGAGGTGCTTCCTCGATTCCCTGACCAAAACCAGCTAGCTAAGGATGCTCAAATGCGCGAGCGTGCGTTAAAGGCTTTGCTGGGAATGGCCAAGCGGGACCTACGAGAGAAAATTTCGAAAATTTCTGAAGCATGCTTCGCCGCTGTCGAGTCACACAGACGAACTGCGGATGACCCAACACAAGTCTGTCAACTCTTTAAGCACCTGCCGCGCAAAAATGTAAGTGTTTTTGTGAATCATATAGGGTATTACTGACGTACTTTGTAGAGGTATCCCGATTACTATGAACAGATTGCGAACCCAATATCAATGGCGAATATCCGCTCGAATGTCAAGCGAGGTACCATTTACACTTCCGTTACACACTATTCCAATGACTGGCACCTTATGTTCTCCAATGCGCGGCAGTATAATATGGATGGGTCTCAGATATACGAGGATGCTAATGCACTTGAAGACATCTTTGAAATGGCTCTTTGTGAAGCTATTCACATCCACGGTATTGTCCTAGAGGAAGATGGTTTTGAGGAAGATGATTTTGTGTAAGTGGTATATTCCCAGTCCGTTTATTGATCTGACGTCGCAAAATTTTGCAGAATTAGTATAGATTAATAGTACTAGTCCATCGCGTCTATAAATGACATGATATTATCGAAATCCCCGTATGGTTCCTCGTTGTCGACTGCAAGATCTTCTAGTGTGATTTCATAGTCATCCCGCTCTGTTGCTTCTGACTCTTCCTGAGCCTCTGCTGAATCTCCCACAGTCGCTTCCACTTGACCCAAATTTCTACTATGCGAGAATCCTTCCGGAAGGCCCGATATGCTCCTCGTGTATCAGGATACTTGGATCCGTCTTCAAGAAGATCGCGCTTGGGATCAATATACTGATTTGTCTCTCGATTTTCAACGTAGCTCTGGATCCTGTTGTCCTTCAAAGCTTGTACAAGGTACATTACCTCCTTGGTCATGTCGGGAATGGTGTGCTGAGTTCCAAAGCTGGAAATCTCGAAGTTTTTCTGGACAGTCCGCATTGCATTTCGAAGCTCGTAGATGCAAACGGTGATCATGGATAGCCAATCCCAACTACGATTGCTACCTTTCGCATTATAAATGACCTAAAAATTTTAATGAAAGGTACGATTGTTCACTGAAATTCATACCTTGGCCCAGAAGTTCTGATGTTCTTGAAGTAGATCAATCTCCTTGAACGAGTTGGGCTTTCCAGTCAGGTTCACAAGCCAGTTGTGAAG